CGATGCCTGCGCTGGCGACGGCGGAGTTAGCAGAGGCGGTGGCGGCGGCGGCGGCGGCAGTGACGAGCGCTGGTTACGGTGTCAGTGGGAACGGTGCCGTTGGAAGGGAGGAAGAACGTGATGGGAGTGCGTTAAGTTGTTGCAAGTAGATGCGAGAGCAGCACCTCATCTACCGTTAGGAGCACGTCAGAACACTACCCCTTTGAATGCCTTCTTTTTGCTTTCTCGCCCTTACTTCGTAAGAAGAGAAAGTATTATAATCGTGTGCTGTAAAACGGCGATTTTTTCCTTCAATTCTTTTATGTTACTTTTTATCCTTTCTTGTCGAAGATGCTCTTAATTTAAAATTCGTACAACAAAGAGTTCTGCTTCATGGTCAGAAACAGATAACCACGCAAAGTAAGGGTCTTACACCATGTATAGTATGCTCGCATTCAAAATTGTTTAATATCGCTGATACGTTTTGTGCATTCTGCGAATTTGGGCAGCGTAGGCAGTCAATTTGGTTCCGCCAATGGGCGTAAGTGGAGTAGCTCAGTGGGCAGGTGGTGCTGATGTTGACAAAAATGCGAAATATCCGCGCAATTCAAGACTGCGTGTAGCAGTGCTGCAAGAGCTGCACCAGAAATAAAAGCACAGCTAACCGTTCTTGCATTGAACATTTTTGAGACTGAAGAACAAAGGCAGACAAGAAGCAGCTTTCTTGGAATATGCCAGAAATTAGAGCATCAATTCATTTTGAAATTACAATTGAAGAATTGACTGTTTATTTATCTTAATTATCAAAAGTGCAATTCCATTAAAATAAGAAAGGGGTTTATTCAGATCCATTATTTAATGAAATGATTTATACAATTTTTTGAACAGTTATTGTATAGTTTCACTATTTATTTTTTTAAATTTAAAAACGCTTATACTCTTTATTTAGGATTTTTAATGTGCAAAGAGGAGATTGTATGTTTAAAATCTCCCTAAAAATAATTAAAATAATCAGGGATAATGAAAGATTTGCTCATTTACAATTTAGCAAAGTGCATTTCCATTCAATAACTATTCTAGATGATTGTGAAGATAATGATATATAAACATTTTGGGTCACTTATAATTATGTGTAATAATATATAATTTTATATGAAAATTATTTAATAAATGGAGCAATCCTTCTTTATGTGAAACTGTATTAAAAGGAAGTAATTTCACAATCTCTTCCATTTTTGTCAACATAAACTCTACCTGGACTCCTGTATGTAAATCAAAGAGAAAACTGTACAGGTAAAAATCCACAGAATATGTAAATACGAGCGTGCTTTCAACCATAATTTTGCAACGACTGGCACATCAAACCCCGCAAACATAAAACAGCTCTGAATGTCAAATATACTTTCCATAAGAGCAACAGATACACCTAATCAAAATTGAAACATTTCACATTGTGATGAAAATAAAGAGTTCAAAATAAAAAGCGAAACTCGGCGCATGAATCACCGCATCCCGTGCGCTCGAAAGCGTTATGTTTTCTGGCCGAGGCGTAGCGCCGAGCAGCAGCGCTGGCGGCGGCGGCGAGCGAAGCGCTGGCGGGCGGCGGGGGCGGCAGGCGCCCGGATTTATGCGTACACGCGCGCGCCCGCAGTAAATCCCGGCGGCGGCACCGCCCGCGCCTCCGCCCCGGGGTCCCCGCTCGACGCCCGTCAGCGCGCCCGCCGGGCCGTGCGTCCGCCGCCGACACGCGCGCCGGAAACCGCCCCCGCCCCGCCCCGCTGCTCCCCACCCATGCTGCCGCCTCCGCACTTCGGCTACCAAACTGCCATTGCCACTGCTGTTATCAGTCTACCATCGCGCTCTCAGCCTTCTTATTCCTGCGTTGTTCCCACTCTCTGCCCCACTGTTTTACACCTGTCGTAAGCTCTCTCTTCATTGTGCTTCTACGCTATACTGTGTCTCTACACAAGTTCCTTGCGTGCATTGATATTTCGTTTCACAGTTTCCTTCATGCAATAATCGAAGCAGTCTCCGCATGGCTGCGATCGAGTCCTGCGTTCACCGCTGTCGCCTCACTACTCCCAATCCTCCGCCTCCTCTTCACATCTCTTGCCCGACCATCTTTCCTGTTCATTCCCAATCGCACGCTCCCCAATCTCTTCTCCTTTGCCACATGCCACTCTCTCTGCGTTTCCACCCTCTCCACCACCGGCACCTCCCACCTCCTGTTCCCCCAGGGCGGTCCCTGCGGGGTGACCTCGCGCCGGATCTTCCCACTCCGGGAAACGCCGTTGGGCCGTGCCACGCCGGGCTCAGCCGCGCCGCGCCGCTCAGCATTGTCGAGGCGAGAGCTCTGCGCCCTCCTGCGGCTCCGTCTACTGAGCACTGAGCTTCCGAGCTGAGCCGAGGCGGCAGCCGAGTGCTGTTTCTCGCTTTGCTGCCGCGTTCGCTTCACAGGCGCGCGCTCAGGCACGTGGAGCAGGAAACGGCGAGAGCGTGGAAATTGAAAATGGGATTAAATGAGTGTTTACGCTCTTGACTTTCATTACTTCTCTGATGAATAGTGCCATTACTAATTTCATGCCGG